TTTAGTTATATTTTGAGTACCGTAATTTGAAAATACTGATATTATAGTCATAGGTCAAACCAGAGTTTGCTTTTAAGTATTACCCAGAAGGCCTTGGAAGAGAAGAGTGCCATTCAGATCCCACTGACAGTTCTATTATTTTGACACCTTTTCCAGCAAGAAGGATAAATATCTGATCTAAGTGGGTAGTAAACAAATCGAAGAAAAAAAGGCCTTGAGGATATAAAAAAATTTTTTTTAAGTCACATTACTTTGTAAAATGTTGAACTGAATATTCAGAGGCATACACCACAAACAATTCTTACATTGAAGGTAGCATATTGCTTTCAGTAGCATTCTTTCTGTTTGATCTTTCAAAATGACCTATTATTCCACAATGCACAGTTGTCTGGTTTCAGTCACTCTTTTAGTACATTTTTAAAATGTTAAAAGGTTTCTCCTTTCTGTAAAAAATGCATTTTTCTTGGCTTTCTTTTCCTAAGGAACATAGTCAGGAAATGAGGCAGAGGATCTCTTAAACATGAGGTGAAATTTGCAGTTGCTTAATGAAACTTTAATTCTTTCATTTGAAATAAAAGATATTAGATATGACTTATCATAATGGTAACCCTGGGGGTGGGCGAGTAGGAAGACTACAGTTGAAATTTATTATTAAACAGTGTATGTGTGACACATGTTGCCAGACAGAAAAAGTGGGTTCATATATCGGGCTTAATTCAGAGATAAAGAGTGATGCCCACAAGGATGTTTCTTGGCACCTTACCCTACCTGATCTTAATTTTATTTTTAGATTCTGTTAATTAAATAATTAAAAAAGGAAATCAGGCAAACTCTAAAGCCTAGAGGCAGCTTAGAGCAAGTTGTAAACAAATTACCATGTATTGCTTCCAACATATAAGGTATATAGTCCCTTCAAGCATAGTTAGTATATTAAAACAGTTGGTGGATGTTGTAATCCATGTTTTGTTTAGAAATGCCCAGACTTTGCAAAAAAGACATTTAACATAATGACTTGCCCAGAGAAAAAGACAAAGGTAGGTTGGAAGGAAAGAGAAAATAGATTAGCAACAATTTTGATTCCTAATAAATTAATGTTTTAACTGGCCATCACCATAACAGCAATTTCTTGAACAGGCCAGCTTCTTAATGATATTTTTTTTTTGCGAAAGCTTTTATAACACGCACTGAAAACTCCACATATGTCCACCATCCCAAAAAGTTGCTTATTTTTATACTAATAATGGTTTCATCTAACTATTTGCAAAATGCTAATTTGTAATTCAAGATAAATAAACCATAATAGCTCAGGTAATACAAGAACTTTTATTAGAGCATGTCTGAAAAAGATTCAATTATTCAGAGATATTTTCTGGGGTATAGTAAGGAGACTTTCTTCACCTGGAAATGGAAGAAAAATAATTTTCACAAGAAGATTTGACATCCCTTCCTTTTATTTTAAAATTTAAATGGTAATGTCAGCCTCTGCCTTGCTACTGCTTCGGCTGCCATTGAAACGGGGAGGGGGGCATGGTATTTGGGAGGGCAATCATTGTTGTGCTGGAGGAAGTTTCTAGACACTG